GGCACATAACAACAACAACAACAACAATAGGTTTACAGAAAAATTTCCCAGAAAGTATTGAATTCTCATATACCTTCACCCCTTGTTCACAGTTTCTCCTGTTACTAACATCTTGCATTAATTAGTGTGGGACATTTGTTACAATTGATAAACCAAAATACTGAGATGTTATTATTAACTCAAGTCCATAGTTTAATTAGGATCCACTCTTTGGGTTGTGCAGTTCTGTGGGTTTTGACAAATGCAGAACTCTCACAGAGGTTTTAATGAGCTAGTGGTGTACCAGCTGGTGCAGATTTGAAAAGGTGGTGCATTTGCCCAAGAGACTAGAAAAATGAGGGCCAGGGAAACCCAGCATTCTCTAGTATTAAGACAGTCCACCCTGTGAATCTCTCCCAAAGCAATTTAGTCCTCAGCCAGCATGCTAGCTACCTTACCCATGTATCACCACTCCCAAGCCTACACCCTTGGTAGACATCACAAATTGATCTCAGCATTTTTTTTTTTTTTTTTTACAAAGAGTTTTGATGTAGCCTCAGAATCCTAATCTTTCACAACCCAGCAGCTAACATGGCCACCACCAATTTCTTAGTGTTGGTACTCAAGATTAAATCTGATCTTTCTGCTGTCTCTCCAAGAAATTTTCTAGGCTTCCCAAGTTATGACTCTGTTGTCAACCATCTTGGGGCTGGTAGTGGTGAGGTCTACAGGATCCACCTTGATTAAAGCCTCCTAATTTTTATTTTTGAAAAACATTGTAATGTTGGCCCAGTTACAGAATAAACACAACTGCAACCTATGTTTCACTGTGAATTCTTGACAGTTCTAGAATGTCTCTGACATTTCAAATGTTCTTTCAATCTGGAAAGTTGGGTGAAATGAATTCCACCCATCTTCCTGGAATGGCTACCTTTGTGTAGTCTGGGGTTGTGGAGGATTAAAACATCTACCCCAGCACCCAAGATATAGTTTTTATCCACATGTAGATCACCCCCTTTTTTCCTCTGGGGGAGGAGAAAAATCTCATGTGTGTGAAATAATAGAGACAAAGTCCAATTAGATATTCATTTATTTGAAACTATTTTCAAATATTAGAAAGGCCCAGAAAGGAATGAAAAAGGCCTTTGAGAAGCCATGTTTTCCTTTATTGAAGAACAATTTCAAGTCTTCACTCAGAGCTGGTACACTCTTTTTTTTTTTTTTTCTCACCAGGCTAACAAATGAGCAAGAAGAGAAGGAACAATCAGAAGTATAGGCTGCTGTAAGTAGACTCACTGCAATGGACGGAGCAGTGGTCCTGAGAGCAAAGGACAAAGGAGAACAATGAAATGTGACCCTACAACCAGCTGGGTCTGTTTCTTGTAGGAGCAAAGAATCCTCGACATCTCTTTTATTTTTGAAAGTTCTGGGTCTTACCCTGGTTTGATTATTTATTATGCATGATCATGGTCTAGAATACTTAGGAAGTAAATACACATTTTTGAGCACCTATTATGTACAAAGGAGCTCTGGTAGCAT